GCCAGCTTCCCAAACTGCCTAAGGAACTGAAGAATAATTCATTCTGTTGGCTTACCTAAATCAAGCTGTTTTCAGTATTGCAGATCCAATCCATTGCTTCCTGATAAAATGAATTGATTGGTCTTGTGTTAAACCTGATCTGGGAGCTAAGCACTCTGGAGCAGCGTAAAGCGATGTAAAGCTGTTGTACAACCAGCCTTCCCCTTGATCCAGCAATGGGGGTGATGCTGTGGGCTGGCGTGTAGCATCCACTTGAAAAATATCAAACACATCAGCCAGACTCTAGAGAGGAACCCTAATTTAAGTCCCTGGATGGTCCCCACCCAATTGCAGAAGGGGTGATGGTGGTGGTGGTAAGGCAGTAGAGCAGAAGCAAGAACCTGCATTTAGGCCATCTAGATCCAGGGCAGCCTGGATTTGGGCTGGGTTTGGTTAGGACTGCACCCTCCTTGTGATTTGAAAAACACAGGGCCCTTTCTCCCTTTGGGAATGGTGGCTGAAATACAAGGGGCAGCCAGACTCTGTGTGCCCTTTTGGGATGAAAGATGTGTAGGGTTTTGACATGAGATAAGGCCAGCCTCCTTTGGTAGGCAGTTTCTAGTTTCAGTTTGGCTAGAAAGGTACAAAATGGCCCTTGAGCCAGGAAAACCACCCTTCTTTCAGGACACTGATAAGGTGCAGTTCTCAATTCAGATGAAAAAAATTAGTACTTTTTTTTTTTTTCCACCTGAAGGTTTAACTTGTCTGAAGTTTCACAGACATATGAAACCACAAAGGAAGACAGTTGCAAAGAATGGAAGTGAAATCAAGTACTTGACATTGAAATGTTTCAGGAAATGTAGTTTTATATGCTGCTGTGCTATTATTAATTAATTAAAAAAAATAGCATGCACCCGTCAGATCAGTATATTATGGCAGTTTTCTTCAATACTGAGAAACAGGAGGACAGGTGACTAGGCTTGGTTGGTAGAGGTGCAGCATGTTGCTCTTACAGGTTGCTCTAAAGGATCCCAAGGGCACAAATTTGTTCCACCCTAATTTTGGCATCCTCCCATGCTGCTGTGACTGGTGAGCTAAAGACCCATAGGTTTGACAGGAGGATGATAATTTTATGTCTGTTCTTTGATCTCCTCTTCCTAGATCAAATAAGTCAAGTAAAGCAGCTACTTGGATGGTTACCATGATTGATCTTTTTTACTGCTGTGGGTAATGAAAGTGCTGAGGGTTTGTGTTGCGTGCTAGGGAGGCTGGAGACAGAGCAGCATGGCCAGATAGGCTGGCGTAGCCTGTTCTTGAGTGTAGCATTACAGCCTGGTTTGTTTTAAAATATTAATCTAGCTTCAGACTGGAAAACCTGCTTTTTTTATCTAGTGTGGTGTCCTGTTAGTGCTATCAGACCTTTGTGATTGCCAAAATAGGGCAGAAAAATGGTCCTGGAAGCTTTCCATGCTGATAATCTGCCTTAAAGTGTAGACACACTAAGAACTATGATTTCTGAACTGAAAGCCTTATCGCTATCCTTGTGAGAGTACCTAGTGCGTGAAAATGCTTTCATTTACAGGAATACGTGTGATATGGATGCTGGATATACTTAAATCTATTTTACTATTTTACTAAGGTACCCGTATGGCCTTTCCACAGTGCTGTCTCTGAGATTAGCTGTCCATTGCTCACCCTGCTGTGAATGCCACCAAGCTGCTCAGTGACGAGGCAACCTGTGCGAGAACCATCCCTCTCCCTCCAGCTCCCTCTGCTTTTGGGCAGGCTGTGGTGGCTTGTTTTCAAAGAGCAATGACATGCAGCTTATCCCAGCTCTGAGGTGTGCACCTGGAAATATGACATTTGTCTGTTTGCTGCTCAGTCCCAGGGTACTTGCTTTCATTTTGGAAACAGTCCTCCCCCCATATGTGGGTTTGCTTTCAGAGCTAATGTAGTGATGCCATCTCTAACAGCACAAGCTGATCTGTGGTCGGTCTCCCAGGAAGGCAGGCAGTCTGGAATAGCCTAATATTACAAGTCACCTGCTGCTACACATAAAAACCTATGAGTATCTGTTAATATTGCTCTGTTTTAGGGTAGTGACACTAGAGAAGGCTGAAGCATGCAGCATCTATCATTATTTTTTTTTTCAATGCCCTATGGGGAAAAAAAGTGAGATTTTCTTAAAGTTGTTATGAGTCCTCAAAAAGTCAACTAACTTTTATCTAGCAATTGTGCTCACATAAGCATGATTTCCTTCTAACAGGCCAAAGATGTTCTGCAACAGTTTTTTATTAATATTTCATGAGTAGCTTAAGTTAGAATTTGTAGGATTAAAAAGAGGAAACTGGGTCAAATGCACATGGTGTAAGCATCTAACTTCTTTAATGGTAAATTCATATATGTTGTATTTTGAAAGCTGAAGAAGTGCTTTTTTGGGGGGTGGGTTATTTTAGTGTTTGTTTGTTTGGGGTTTTTTGTTTTGTTTTTTAATTTGACTATTTTACAGAAAAATTAACTTTCCCTTTGAAATTTTGTGGGTCAAATCCCAAGAGACTTCTAGGGTTTCACAGTGTGTGCAGCCACTTCAGGAGATGCTTTTTCAGCAAGCCCAGCACCTTTCTGCATAAAGACTATCCTGCTGCTTTTGTAGGTATATTACTGGGTTTGAAGAATCAGAGAGCAAGGACAGTAAGCATTGTGTCCTCTGGTATTGAAGTTGAGACCAGTTCTCCATGGATGCAGCTCTTGCAGTAAAGCTTTTCAGGGCCTGCTGGAGCATAAGCCAGCACATACAAAAATGCTGAACCCTGGTGGGGGCTCTGTACATTGGAAAGGGCCAAGGGAGCTGCTGGCTGCCTGCAGCACCACTGACCCCAGCCCCACGTGCCCCTTCCTAGGGACCCCCCTGCTCGTGGTAGCAGTGCACTCCATAGCTTCGTGTTTCGAGATGTGGTAGTTTAACGTGGCTGGCGACCAAACACCACACAGCTGCTCACACCAGGGGATCAGGGAGAGAATTGGAGGGGTAAAAGTAAGGAGACTTGTAGGTTGAGATAAGAATGATTTAATAATTGGAGTAAAATAAAATTAAAGCAGTAATGATAATTTTATATATATATATATAAATAAAAATGAGTGATACACAGTACAATTGCTCACCACCCACCGATAGCGATCACAGAGAGGTGAGACGGTGGGGTGCACACAGGTGTCTTCCCTGGAGCATTGCAGCACAGCTCCCACAAGGTGGGATGCTGAAGATACTCGTATGACATTGAGCATACGTGCTTGTCCGCTATGGCAGCGTGCAGCTGATGGGCCTGCAGAGCGCTAGTGTTTGAGTTAGATGGTGGTTTCAAATATTGTTGTTGGCTGTAATTGCCAAAGCCACTGTCAGTGCTCAGATAAATGAAGTAATAACCTGAAGTTCTCACTAAAGGAAAGGAAGGTTTCTTGCTCCACTGTTCCTTTCTGTTGTGCAGCAGAGATGGAGAAGGTAGTGACAACATCATGCTGGTATTGCAGTGGCCTTATAAACAGAACTAATTAAATGCAAGAGAAAAGGATCCTAATGACCATGTTTTTTTCAAATCTCTCTTAACCTGTAAGTGTGTTAGTGGCTCCCATGTTTAACCTAAGTTGGGTTTTAGTTGTTCTACCTCTCTCCTCGGCATTGTGTGCAATGATGCTGGGCTTCATTTTGATTCAAGAGATGATGATACAGGAGATGTAAAAACCCCCAATATATTATAAGCCTCTTCGGAGCTGTATATAGTCAATGTGGCTATTCTCAATTTTTTCACCCACATGTTTTTACTCTTATGTCACTGTTGGCCTTAATGATTAATATCTTTTGTCTTAACATTTTCAACCACGTATACATTTACAGACTCGGTGTATAAAATATGTAAATCGCTAAGCTGTAACAAGCTTGTAATGGTCTTTGTGGCTTTTTCAAATATAATTGGAAATAAAAATAGTACAAATGTAGTTGCTTGCTTAGCATTTTTGTGGTAAAAGGCATTTCTAAGTTGAATATTGGTTTGGTTTTTGTTTGTGGGGTTTTTTGGGGTTTTTTTTTTGCTATACAAATACCCACCAGTGCAAGGATGGATGGACTGTCGGATATCTCTGCCAGTGCAAGTGCTGAGCACTCAGTGAGACAGGAGCTTGGGGAGGGTTACCCACCTGAGGACTCCCACCAGTCCTGGTTGGTGTCTCTGTGCTAGCCTAGTCCTCCTCTCTGCAGCTGCATTTGGAAGTCATCATCTGTCCTGTAGTTCTGTCCCATGATGGGCTTTAGGTATTTTGAGGAAACTGAGAAACACGGTGGCTGGACCTACATGATTGTTACCGTCCCTTTCTGCTGGCTCAAACTAAAAGCTGACATTGCGTTATGTTGAAGGGACCTGAACTGGCCATGAGGGTTTGTCTTCTTCCCCTTACTTCTCCTTCTCCCTCCAAAATACCTCCAATGAGCAATAATATGCAAATACAAAACATAAAGCCAAAGAAATGGATTTCTTTTTGGTTCATCGAGGCTTTTGTCCTATTAATTCCATGGCAGATGCTTTCTTTTTAAGGCTGAACTCCATCACATAGTGTGTTTTATCTGGAGTGAAAGCTAATGTCTACGTTGGATGCTAAAGCATCACTTTTAAAAAAGGCAATAATGTTAATGACAAAGAGCAAAGTCCCAAGGACAAGTGGACTGTGTTTCTGGTGTTCTTTAACAAGAATTGGATTGCTTTAGTTACCGCTTTTGTGGCTGACTGGCTTCCATCTCTGCTTTTTATCATAACATTGTGGGCTTTTACAGCAATTAAATCACTACTCATTCACTACTCATGAAGTTATTTCAAACAGGGTTTTGCTCAATAAGGATCAAGTTTGGTTTCTCTTATTAAAATGTTGAACACTGCCTCTTCACTAGGAATTATCATGGAAATTAATTCTGGTTTTATTTGGAATTAATGTGGCGCTTTTTTTTTTTTTCTTCCTTTTTTCTCACTGTTCAGCTGTGAGGTCTGGCTGGCTGCCCCCACCACCACCTGCACTGCCCCCTCGACCTTCTGCATCTCAGGTACGGACAAACGTTTAGACTTTGGTGTGTATTACTCACTTATTTATGTTACTCTTGCAGTGGTTAGCACAAGTTGGCTTGGACAGGGCAGTTGTTCTTGCTTCCCAGTTAATGCAAAGCTGCAGTTTGCTCTGCAGTTCCATACATGTCCTTCTTCATTGGTCTGTCTAGCCGCTGTGTTGCAATGTCAAATTACAGACTAATTAAATCTCTTTGTAGTGGAGCTGACATGCACGCACTAGAAAAAACTGTAAATTAAAGGCTAGTGAGGCTAGTCTATTAATAAGAGTTTCATGCCTGAAAGGCATGGGCTTGATACCTGCTATTTGCTTCTCCAGCTTTAAATGCTCTGAGGGCATCTGCTAAGGGAGCCACAGCATGTAAGAGTATATTTCACCCATGGGTTTAAAAAATAATGCTGAAAGGAAGTGAATGCCATGTCAGTTATGTTATTAAGTTTCAAACCATTAGTGGTGCATTTTTGTTTTGCTTTTTGGATGGGTATTTGTTTGTTTGTTTTTAGAGCATCATACAACCACAGCACAGTGCAAATTGACTAAATTGTGTATCTGCGTCCAGATACTTCTTAATGTTTTAGGAAATTATAGAGGATCAGTGTCTTGTTCTTTTTATGTTGTTGGCTCTATTAAGTCTTAGGTGACAGTATGCTTCATATTTTACTCCTTTAGGTGAAGCATATAATAGAAAACAAGTCCATAGGGGGGCTAACAGCCCATTACATAGGAAAGCTTGGTGAGACACTCTCCTTGAACCAGAAACAGTCCTCACTTGAGTTTTGGATCTACTCTTAAGAATCTGCTGTTGAACACCTCCTGCTGCACAATGCTTATGATAGAAATGATAAAAGGTTTACTGCCACCCCCAGCTCCACCAGCAGCTCGTGGCTCTCTTCCTCTCCCCAGCCCTTTTTAGCATCTGAGTGGAGCTAGTTTCTACCTCCAGGACTGTAGAGCGTGCTGGTTTGAACTTGTGTGCTTCACCTGAGTCACTGGCATTAGCCCTACTGCTCCTTAGTGCACCCATCACATTTCTGCTTTGTCTAACGTTCCCTGGTGCGCTGTGTTTCCCTCTGGCTTCCTCTGGTCCCTCCTTCCTGCTGCTCGGACTTGCCACAGGGTGCTGGCCCCATGCGCTGCAAGCCCTCTCACTGCCATTGGGAAAAGCAGTAAATACAACAAATCCCATTCTTAGGGGAAAAAACCCCATTGTTTTCAAGCAGTTTCTGCTAATTGTTAATTTTCTTGTCCTGTGATAGATTTGTGTTTCCTCAGCAGGGCAGTGAGGAGAGATGTTAATTTATTTATGGATGGTCAGCAGCTTTCTTACCACATCACAAATACTGAACCAGCTAGCTGCTTATCTTACATTCAGCCATGCAGAATATAGGACTTTTCTAAAATGATAAACAAAATAAGATTCTCATGTGAAAATACTGATCCAGTCCCCTCCAATACAAAGTCTGTTTTCTGAAAGAAGAAAAAAAAAGTTACTTCTATGTCTATGCAGTAATGAATATAGAGCTGAGGCTTTGCTTACATGCATTGCTTGTATTTACTTAATTTATTTCGGATTATTTTTAAAGGTATTTAATCAAATATCTCATAAAAATATTCTTGTTCTGACATCTAGCAAAAATATACGTTATACCAGTTCTTGAAAACCTAATAAACTTCACGCTTGTCACATTCTGTTTATTTTATCTTCAAGTGTGCCTTTCTGTGATAAAGGTAACAGACAGTAGGGAAGTATGTGTGATAGTTATAATTCAGCTGAACTGACCCTTACGAATAGCATGTAAGCAATACTAAGCATATGGATTACATTAGTCCAGTGGGGCCCTTGATTTAAAGAGCAAGAAGAAGTTGGAGGGAGGGATCTGCTTTAAAAACTGAAGCAAGATCAAGAACTGAAGAAAAGCTATGATGCTAAAATGGCACATTCAGCTTCTTCCCATTTCAGGATTTACCAAACTGTTCTTAAATTTCTGTTTTAATTTATTTTTCAACCATGTTATTGAAAATCCTTTTTTTATTGCCGCAACATTTTGCTATCTATATGCCTGCAGTTAAGCACTGAGAATGACAAATGTAGCTTTGAAATTAAGCAAACCCTGCATATTTCAGGTGGCTGTGCACCATGTAAGTATGTCTGTGGTGTGATTATTTTGGCTCAGCTTTGGAAATTGGTTGATGGAGGAGGAGAGGTGGGAAATAATTTCTTCTGAGGACTAGAGTTTTCTATGGATGGCTGAAAAGCAGCCTGGACCAGCTGGCTTTTTAGAGTGAGATTGAGGGCTCTTAGGATGTAAAGGCCAAAGTGCATGAAAGAGAGGTACCAAGGGGTAGGTATGAAATTTCAGTGGAGCAGAAGTCCTCCTGTGAGCTTAATCAATAGCAATATAGAAATGGCACCTTGACTTTGGTCTGGGGATGCTGTTGTTTTTAGTAGAATTTGTTTCAACCTTTAGGAAAACATTATTTTTCCTGTCAGAACCTCCAAGGTAATCAAGCTTGGTAAGTTACTGAAACACTGGTTATTCAGAGTGTGCCAGACATCTCTAGTCATATCACAAACTTATTAAATTATATCCACATCCAACTCTGCCTCCATAGTGCAGTCAGCTGAATAACGAGGGAGAGCGACTGTATCCCTGAGTGAGTGGAGCACAAGGTAAAACTTAAGAGATCATACTGCTGTGGCCTTGACTCCAGAGCTCAGTGGATGCAGAGGGTTATGTGAGAGGCTTGAGTCTTGGGATCCTGCAATGCAATGGCCAGTTTATGGGGAAGCAGCAGCAGGGCTGGTTTCTCTGCTCAGGGTTGCTGCTGCCAGACCATGCTGTTCCACACCTCTGATGATGGGTAGACACCTTTACAAGTGCAGCTGCATCTCTTCTTAACTCTACGATGGGGTTTAGGGTTGGTAGCTCCATCTCCTCAGGGTTTTTCTCCATTGCCAAAGTCAGTGTTGTATTGACTTCACACTGGTCCACAAACTGTACCCAAGTTTTCCTCAGAGCTTTCACCAGACATTTCTCCAATGTAGGGGTGCTTTCATTTGAGGTCCCTGTGGTGACTGTAAATAAATTTAATAAATAAAGACAGACAAAAGACAAGCTTACATAATGTGGATACACCATTGTCTCCAGTTTATGATCTTTTAACCCAAATTTCAGCCCATATCTCTCTCTGCACTGCAAGCCATTTTGAATTTATGTTTCTAGTAAGATGTTGTGAAATGGAATATGAAATGCTTTATTAGAATCCTCAGTTCATGTTGCTTTCCAGTTAAAAAAAGAAAGTAATTCAAGTTTTGCCTAAATTCTATAAAGGACACCTGGAAAGATTATGTATAGAAACAGAAAGTTTACACAGAGACCAGATTTTTGTTTTGGGTAATATGCTATTTTGAAGTGTTTTCCTTTTACTACTGTATATATGCCTGTGTGTAACTTCACTGACACCTTCTGTAATTCCTAGTAGCACATGTCACACTTAGCAAGTCTGCAGTAGCTGCCTGGATATAATTTTGTCTGTATCAGTTTCCCTATTTCTTCAGACCATAAATATTTCATATGCTGCAAGCTATTGTACAGACTTAGGACACTGGCAGTGCCTTACCTCTCTTGCTCACTTCTCATGGCATGCTATAGTTATGGCTTTTCCACTCTTTTTTTCTTTTTTTTTTTTCTTTTTTTTTTAATGGGGTTTTAAAAAGGTCTTAGGGGGTTTTGTGTCACCATCATTGCTTCCCCCCTCCCCACCCCGCTGAGTGATGGTATATAGAACAGATAATGTGTAGCTTGTTGAAATACCTACTGTGGTTTGTTTTTTTTTTCTGGGCTTGTAGAGGACTAGATTCAGTGGCTCAGGTAATTTTTCCTGATCCTGTGTTCCTAACTTACTGGTAAACAAATAATCAAGGAGAAATGGCATAAAGGTGGTCTCAGAACTTTTGTGCGAACCCAGGGCTGTACACAGAAAATCTATGTAACTTGGAGGTGGTAAGAATCATGATAGGAAGGCAGTAGCATATGTAGCTGATTTGCAGTGACACAAATTTCAGACAGAAAATAACTTTGGGTGCTCATGAATAACACTCCCCTGGAACTAAATGTGTATGCACATCTCATGTAAGCCTCTGTTGTTATTTTTTTTTTAATGGAAAACAAAATAATACTTTATTACTTTTGGCTTTTAAGCCTACAGAAGTAATTTACCACAGCTGCTTACTGTGGGAGATTCAGTAGCATATTTATGCTAATAGGAATTACAGATGAACACTGAAGAGCAAATATAACTTTAGGATTTTATCCAACATCAGCTCACTATCTGCAACTTTACCCAATTAGATCAATGTTCCTTTATTTCAATTACTCTGTTTCAGTACCTTCCTGTCCAGTAATGAAGGCACATTTCAATCCTGCCTGTGCTATGTAAGGGGATTTGAAAACAGTGGGACTGGAAGAAAACGTTGTGTATCTTGGCTGAAAAAACTGATGTTCCTACTCTCTTTTCCCAGAGTCTAAATTTTAAGCCTGTTGGTTTTGTAAATTCACACTGGTCTGTGCTGGGCTTTTATTTCTGGGGACCTCGGTACCTGGTTTTCCCACTGGTTCCATTCTGTCAGTTTTGACAGGTGCTGAAAAAATTATGGATGAAGGCAAAGTGTTCAAGTGAAGTGGAGTAAGTAGGCAGCTGTTAACATGATCAAATTCAAGTGTCCTGAGTACACTGCAGCCCTAAAGATTAAAATCTCACTGTTACATGAGCTCAAGAGTTAGGCTGTCAGTTTAGTGGCCATTGTTACCATTAGATGTTATTGATTTGGTGAAATCATGGAAACAAAGTGCTGTGAGGGATGATGGGTGGGTCACCCTACCCAGGCACAGGCACCTGGTGTTGTTGGAAAGAGAAGATATTATTCTTTTTAACATATTGAATATTCTGCTCTCCAAATGTTACTCAATACTTCATAAT